CTTCTTTCTTTCTGGATACCTTGGGAAATAGATAGAAGCTTCCTAACTTTTTTGTTTGCCAATGTATCAGTTGTTTCCATTGGCTTATTAATTCTGAACACTATTGTCTTTCACAGGGGTGATGGTATTCATGAAGTGGTACTTATTTTTTTTTACACAGGTTAGCTTCTATAGGTCATAGAAAATTTGGCATAGGTTTTTTGTTTTTGTTTCTGTTGCTTTGGTTTTGTTTTTTGTTTTTTGTTTTTTTAATGGAACTATTTTCTTTGTTTGGTTTGGTTTTGCTATTCTGGACCCTTCTAATTTAATTTGTTTTGCTCTTGTTATTTGATGAACCAGTTAACGCTGTCTGACCTGGTCCAGTTATCACCCCATGCCTGAAGTCTGGAAGGTTCTCAGGTTTTCTGGGACATATGGGTGGTGAATAACAGAGATTAAAAATAGTTTCTAATTTATTAATCCAGATTAATGGAAGTAAAATAGGACTTAAATTTTTCTGTCTTCTCAGTTTTATTATTTGTACACTTAGCAACTAGGAGAAGATGCTGATGACGAAATGTATGTGTGTTTACACTGGGCAGTATTTACTTAGAGTTAATGTGAGTGAGTGTAAAGAGAAAGAAAAAAAAATGATAGCGTGTTATTTGTGTCATCTCCCCTCCCACCCAATTCCTCCAATTGTCTCTTAGATTAGCAATGAGTATTGTTTCTATGGGCGTTTTTGTTTGTTTGTTTGCTTTTTTAGATGTTTTTCCCCACCCCGTCACCTACCTCTCCCCTTTGGGAATAAAGGGCACTAATAAGGCCTATTATTTTAATAGTCTTCAGGCCTACGGATGATAGAAAGTCAATTGGAAGCAGAAGAAAACTGTGGCAGGCAGAATTGATACAGCAGTGTATGGGCTTCTACCAGCACTTGGGAATGCAATCGACATTTTCCCAGTTCCTGGTATTAAGGTAGTAGCAGGTCCCTACTAGCAGCGTTCAGAGGGAGGGCCAAGCACAGCTGAATTTCTGCCATTCCCTCCAGTTCACGTGCACCTGGGACCAGCCACACCCAAATGGTATCAGTCAACAGTGTATCATGCAGTGTCTGTGTTGTGTTTTTTTTTTAATTCACGATTTCCTCTTGCAACTCAACGAAAGAGTGTTAACTGTGTGTGTGTTTTTTTTTTAAATTCAGTTTTGTATGCTAGCATTCTTTAAATGTCTGCCAGAAGTTTAATTTGAATTTCTGATCCCTGAAGGCAGCTAGACAGAATCATTCTAGTTCTTCATAAATTGCCTTCTATGATTCATTGTTAACTCATAAAACACACTCATTTCTATATTCTCAAACAGTTAAGGTAGTTACAGCATCAGCATCAGACATATAAATTTTTTTTTGCACTATCTTTAAATTGTCGTTGGAGAAGGAAGTCGAGAATTAGTTGAAACTCCCACTTCAGGCGTGAGCCCCGTAGCATAGGAAAACATCAGAATTTATTGTTTTTTTTTTGTTTTTTTTTTTTTTTTTAATCTCAAGGAGGGTAAGGTAGATGGCATAGAATCTGGAAAAAATAAAGTTTAGTTTTGACTGAATAGTCTCAAAGAGGGGCCCATGAATAGTAGAGCACCGTAGTTAAGAACTCACATGACTGTTTTAAATACTATTGATTTAAACCACTGGCTAGATTTTATGAATCACGGTGTAATTTCTAAGCCTTGGCCATATTTCTCAGTGCTAAAGCACTCTCTCTTGTGTGCCTTTAGCCGCTTTCCAGACATTCAACACAGGATTAAATGATAGTAGTTACAGTGATCAATAGGTTAAGACCGGTACGATCACTCTTGCCGCTAATGACCTCAGTAGTAATGGGCAATAAAGTGTGGACTATAATAGCCTCTCGCTGGTACTGCATGCCCTTTGATTCCTAGTATTAGTAGGGACTAGCTACATGAAAAAGTTGGACATTGGGAGTTAAGAGAGTGGTTATGTGTAGGCTCTCTTTCTTAACTATTTAAAACCTAAAACTGTGCTCAGATTTTTTTTTTCCCCCTTTCCTACCCAGGCTGGTTTCTGGTCCATTTGGATATGTTTGTTAAAACCTTCCATAACCTATTTTCAAGACACGTTGGAGCAGAAACTGGGGAAATCTCAGTTTTATCACATTTATAAATTAAGCTCAGGCCCAGTTTGGAGGCTCACAAGCAAACTGGTGTGAAAATGTGGTTTCAGATAGTAAAAGCAAAGTTGAGGCCATCAGCATATAATAGCCCACTCCTGGTTATTCAGAGACCCTGTGCCAGGCAGGAGGATTATTCAGGCTTCTCACCTCTCTCCCTTCTTGGACTGTGCCTGCTGCTTGAGCATCTTATTACTCACCAGCACCTCCATCAAAATGTCCAAAGGGAAAAAGAAGAGGAGAGTCAAGTTCATTGTACTGTTCAGTACCATGACAGTAACATTGTACTGTTCAGTAACTGTTCAGTTATTTAGGTTGAATAAATAACCCTGGGAGAAGCACATTTAACTATTGGCCATATGCAAGGGTTTCAAAATATCTGTATACGCCAGTCCTTTTTTTAACTTTTAAAATCGATTTTATTTAAGTATAATTTACATACAAGAAGATGCACTCGGTTTAAGGGTACAGTTGGAAGAGTTTGAGCAGTTGTGTACACTCAATGAAACTGCCTCTGCAGTCAAGATAGATGGCATTTCCATCACCTCCAAAAGTCCCCTTGTTCCCCTCTCACACATAGACTTTCCATTTAAAAAATTGTGACCGAAAGATTATGACTTCTGTTACAACACTGTTAATTTCGTGTTCATCACCCGTTTAAATCTTACACCACCCTATTCCTGTCTGTTTTCCTGTTCATCACCATCAGAAATTTGGCTCAAGAATATTTATATTGTACGTCATCCAAGAAACGCAGAGGAAAAAAGAAACCTTAAACATGGTTCTTTTGTTTGCTTAATCAAACCTCCCTGTATGATGATGCAACTCTCAAGGAAAAGTAAACTTCTATTGTGATATGTTGGCTTTAGCAGCTCGAAAGATAGCGATTGGCACCCCATACATTTTGAAAAACTCAAAAAGTTTCTTGTGTGTGAAGACGAAGTAGACTGATTGGAATTAATTTATAGATGGTTAGATGTTTTAATAATGCCTTCTTGTGTTTGCCCTAGATTGAATGCAAGTTCACTGTTCTAATCATTGGTGATATTTCGTGCTGCAAAGTATCTTTTTAAAAGGATAATTTATCCATTCATATACATCTGTCCCTTTTTGCATATAAAAATAGTCAGACATGCCCATCTGTTTTAAATTACAGTGTATCTACATCTACACTTAAAAGGCCACTGCAATGGGAAGAATTCGATGATGACCTTCCAGAGTTAGGTTAATGAAATTTTTCAGATGTTCTAGCCGGTGTTTTCCAAACAATGCGAAACTTGCACATAAACATTTCCCCACACAAAACATGCCCACAACAACAGTGCAGCTTGTTCACTGTACATGAATCTGACCTTCAGGAACCATTTTTAGTTCATCAAAATTAGTGATGCTGAGAAATCGGGACATCAGTGCATAATGACTGTGAAATTAGGAATGAGAGCTCGCTATGCAAATGACAGGACAAATCATGTGAAAAAGTCAAGATAAACTGCATATTAAGACATTATGTTACATAAAATTAATACTGCATTTCTCCCTTTTGCTTACTGCTCCCCTGAAAGATTTTTTAATTCTTTTATCTTCTGATCAGCTATTGTCTGCCGGATTTTTTTTTTTAAGTGGCACACAGGCAAAGTGCAAAACATGTTATTACCTTTTATTGTAATACATGAGATGACAGGAGATCCTTTTTAACAAAGTATATCCTTTACTGCTTCTAGCTTCTTGCTGTCACATGTTTGATTAGAAACCAAAGAAAAGTAAGATGCTTAAATATTACTGTTAGAAGACATACAGGTTTTGTCTTTTCTTTCATTGTTATTTTTTCCCCTTTCCTTATCTTTTTATTTGGGGGGGGCGATTTTTCATGAAATAGTCTTCTTGTATTACGGGGACTGACAAAATGGTTCTCATGTAGTCTGCAAATTAAACACAAGTGCAGTGATTATTTTGAATAGCTAAATTACATTCTAGAAAGCTAGCAGAATTCATAGCATTGTCATTAGGTATCCGCTTGAATACAATTTGTGTAACCTTGGCCAAGACAGCCTGTCATTTTAATGTCAGTGTTTTATCTGAACAAGACATCATCCTTTCAGATACAGTGTGCAGGTTCCTTGCAAAGATGCCCGTGCAGAAACGTGTTAACAGTTGCAAATATGAAATGCTATCAAGTTCATCACTGTAGCTGTTTGTCACTGAAATGTCATGGAAAGCAGCTTTTAATGGTATCACACGTACTATGAAAGAATGGAGACATCTGTGTGCTGGGTGAATGAGGAAGGGTAAAAGACATCTTAGGAAAGGTCTGCGTTGAAGTTCGCGAGGTGCGCCCAGGGTTCAGTCACCCACAAGACCAAGCATTCAGTGATTGTCCTTTAAAGATCACTGTCCACGGAGGAAGTGGATCAGAGTAGCTCCCGCTGAGAAGGTACTGGTTCCCATTTGCCTTGTTCCCTAAAACACAATTCGAGTTTGCATTAAACTCCCTAGAGCTAATTGCCACCGAAGAGTCCTGCTTCCTAAGAAATCCAGAGCGTTGCCTCCTAACTCCGGATAGCATTTGTTAGGTCTTTACTCCTTGTCTGCCTGCAAGGCTGGCTGCGCACCTGTCAGTGCTGCGAGGGCTTCTTTTGTTTTTCTTTATTTCACGTAAACTCCGTAAGAGATGAAATAGGATTCGTTGCCGCATCCCCTCCGGATAAGGATGCTGTGCTTGGGCAGTCGGTCAGTTCTCCAAGCAGGCTCGCGACAGTCTGCCGCTGACCCCACAAGACTGAGTGCTGCGTGTGCGCGATTTCCTAGCTTCCTATTTACCCTTCATTAACGTTCTAGGTTCCCGTGTCAGTGGCTATGATGACACCTCAAGTTATCACTCCCCAGCAAATGCAGCAGATCCTCCAGCAACAAGTGCTGAGCCCTCAGCAGCTCCAGGTCCTCCTCCAGCAACAGCAGGCCCTCATGCTCCAACAGGTAACCGTCCGTCCTCCTCCTCCCAGGGCCGGCCACTCCACTCACCGACCCCTGCACCTGATCCGCTCCTTTGCCCATGGAAGAGAGAGGCAGGACAGGGTGGCTGGGGCAGGACACTGAGCGGGCCCCCGAGTAATCGATGTAGTTAGCATCCCAGCAAGGGAGGGGTCCTGCCAAAGCGACTGTGGTTTGGGTCTGGGGAGTACCCGATGGACTGAGATTAGGGCTGTAATTGGACTTGGTAGAACTAAGATCTTTTAGGCTTATGCGGCTTTACGCTCTTTTATTTGGTAAGCCCAGAGGCTTCTAAATGGTGTGAATCAAAGCGAAATGGGGAGCGCGTTCGGAGCAGGTTGAAATGTGACAGCTCTTGAAGTCCCCATTTCAACTCAGAGGCTCACAGAATTTTTCTTTTAAACATCAAGAGACATCCCGGAGTTGGTTACTTTTAAGGTGCAGAGTTCACTTTCCTTCTTTCATGTATGCGGATATGCGGAAATGAACTTCTGGCCGCCACGTGCCACAGAGACCTCACGTTCAGACTTCCCGGACCCCTGAACCAAAGAGACACGATTCAGAACTACAGTGACAGAAGTGGCTGGGGTGAGATGGTGGGGACCGGAGGCAGAGCGAGCTACCCACGCTGTCGATGCGGACGCTCACCACCCCGCCACCCTGCACAGCCCCACCCTTCAGAAAGCAGGCGCGCTTTTCAAGATAGAGCTTGCCCAAACTCCCTCTGCAAGGGCACTGGATTTTGTTGTCCCATCAAAGGTCATCCCTTCCCTTATTTTAATTAGTTTGTGCAGAAAATGGTATGTTTTTCATCAGTTCATTTTGGAGATTACTTTTCAGACAGTAATGCCAAGAATAGTCAGGGTGCGCTGAAATTTATGGTCGAGTCTCAAACTAAAGGTCAGGCCATTACAGATAAAAGGATGCTATTTTTCAAATCGCAGTTGTGTATGGCACCGAAAAGGGACAGTGGGTTGGCGCTACCCTCTGTTACTTACCGTCCTCTCTTTCCTTTGTAGCAGCAGCTTCAAGAGTTTTATAAAAAACAACAGGAACAGTTGCAGCTTCAACTTTTACAACAACAACATGCTGGAAAGCAGCCTAAAGAGGTACCGACAATACATATTTTACTTTCAAACCACAGATCCCAGAGGACTATCTAGTGGCTATTAAACTGTCATTCATCTCTTAAATGATTGCACAACTGAGCTCTTGGTCCGCAGCTCTCAGACCAAGAGCGGTGGTCCCGTTTTTCTCTGAGAGTTTGCTGGGTTCCGCTTGGGGGCTAGCCCCCAAGGCAGGGGTACCGCTGGTGAGCACGGGGAAGCGGGATGGTGGGCTGGGCCTTCGGGGTTCCGCCCACACGCAGGCCAAACAGCAGGCGAGATGCACCTGCGTTCGGCACAGGTGTACTTGGACACGCACTTGAGGTTTTCTCCGGCCCAGCCAGCTTGGGTGTGCGGGGACGGCCCTTCCCTTTGCCAGAATCCTCTCTTGTGAGGCTGGACAGACCACAGGAGTTCGACCAAGAGTAAACGCTATCTCTGTGTTCACCTTTTCTCACAAGTTAGGCACGTATGCTAATCGCTCAAGGCAGGTGTAAGATGGGACGACTCTTCTGAGCTTGGATGGTTTGGGCGTCCCTGACAAAACCCAGTGTGTCATGATGGCTTCCGTGGGCCCGGCGCTTGGTAAGAGCACACAGTTGTGGCACCAGGCCCCTCCAGCCAGTTGGGTGACCACTTCAGCTCCAGAAGCCGTAAGGCCTGCCCAGAGAGGGTTTCCACATGTCACGTCCTGTACGGATCCATGTCGGTCTAGACCAGTCCTTGGGGGGAGCATCGGTGCGCATGAGGGCATGACCATGCCATCTTTCTCCTGATTTCAGTTCCCGAAGTCACTTACCTGCTCATGTTTTTACCGTGGCCAGGAATGCTGTCCTTTTGAGTGTTCTCCTCAGAACTCCCCAGTCTGTAGTTTGAGAAACAGCCCCCAGCCCCCTTAAACGGCTTCCTTTCTGGCCCCAAGCCGCTGGTCATTAGTTTGGAAGGAGCCTCGCTCCGGGGACTCTCCGGGGCCCTGCCCCTCCTGTGAGCGTGGATGGCGGGCGGCGCTCCCGTTCCCCAGCGGGAAGGGCCCAGACCGTCTCCCTGCGCCGGCTCCTCCCTCCACATACACTGGGTGCTTAATCCATGCCCCGCTGAGCGTTCTCGCCGGAGTCCCATGCAGCAGCCTGGATGGCAACCCCCGCAGAGTCGGGCCAGTTTTGGGGTGAAGGGGAGGAGGTGCTTTCAGGAAAATGCTGACACCACCCTTAAGTACAGTGGCGCGCCCCCGAGTGCTGCTGTAATAAAAAAGGGAACAGATTAAAAAGTGTCTAAAATGTAAATCTAAAGGACTAACAGTAATTAAAATGGAAATGGCACAGGGAGGGAAGGCATGTAATTGTGAGATATCACTGTGCAGAAGGCTCTCAGCTTTGTTTTGCTGGCTGTTTTTCTAATTCAGTAGGGCTTACTCATCAGTGGCAGTTCAATGCGCGTTAATGACTCTGGGATTGCAGGCATCACTCTGGACAAAGAAATGATTATTGTGCGGTCAAAAGAAGTTCAAAGACAAGAAGGGAATTTCAGTTTTTTCCTTAGAGATCCACATTCAAGAGCATATAAATTAAGCCAAATGTTAAAAACCACAGTCTGAAAGCTGACTTCAAAGTCACAACTCTCTAATTAATGAACTGCGAGCTTCAGTTTGGACAAGTTGTGGTTTGATGCGCCCATAAATCAACATGACAGGCCTGTTTCACAGTCTCAGACAGTGCTTGTCATTGAGTCACATCAGATGTAAACACAGCAGAAAAAAGAAGGGCTATGAAGGAGGTGCAATTGATCAACAGAATTGGTAAAAACCCACTTTTGAAGCACATTATGCATGATCACAGGAAATGGTTACAGCCTCAAGAGGTTTCCCCTTCTGCTGTTGCTTTTTTGAATCAGATTTCTAACAGCCTTCAAAAGGGAGAATAAGAATTATGGAGTTTCTCCCCTGTGGCTCGCAGGCAATAACCCCCTGTTGTTATTTTGTGCTTCTTTCTTTTCAAAGGCATCAAAATTTAGTTTTTTAAAGATCTTTAACTCTACATTTGAAGACAAACAAAAAAGGGCCTCCACTGTCATTCCTATCAGTTACCGGGGACTGTGTTTTTCTTTCTGTTGCCACTTCTTATTAACCTCTTATTTGGTCTGTTAGAGTTTGGAAGGCACGTCTGCACGCTGAGAGAACATGAAAGTTCAGACGGGCTCAGAGGGCAGATAGAGAAACGTGAAGGGGAAAGTTACACGGCAGAAGGAAGGATAAAAGTTAACTCCCCCAAATGGCTGCTGTCAGAAAGGGGGCATCTTGGCACACAAAGATGATGGTGGTGTCTGAGTTTGGGAAGGGAGTATTTTGTATCTGAACAAGGAGAAGGAGAGACATCAGAGCAGCCTTTTAGCATCTCTAGGACTTGAGGTTTGCTGTGGTCGTGTTCTCTCATCCACTTCCAAGGCAAAGGTGACTCACAACCCAAGAGACAGGTTGTCTTCACATCCCGAGGGGTAGGCAGACCAGCGGGCAGGTCCCCTTGGATCCCATTCTCTGTTCCTCGTGCTGGTGGGTTTGGCTGAGAGCTTTTGTAACCGTGATTAAGAGATCCTTATTTTCCCGAGGTAAGGGGGATAGGCTTCTGAAATTATCATGCAGGTGGTGGTCCTTTTGTGCTAGGACGAAATAGAGTCACATGGTAGCAATTTCACGATGTGGACTGGTGGTTCTGATTTTAACAAGGTTTGAACTTGGATGTTGACAGATGGAACAAGTGTATTAATTTACTGAATCCCCAGTCATTAGTGGCTCCTAATTTTGAATCATCTGCCCCCACCCCACCCCACCCCTGTCACCACCACCTTTTTCCCCTTTTTTGATTACCCCTCTGGTAAGACACTTGATCCTCGGCCAGAACGATGTACCTTCACTCAACTTGTTTCTAAAGTTGCCTTGAGATGTTTCCTTGGAAAAGTTAGGCTCCCTGTTGAGCTGGCCCTAAGACCTTCTTAAGGGATAGATCTTCTGTAGCCCCATACAGCTCTTGAAGTGACTGCTCGTTAATATTTGACAGAACGGGTGTGGAAAATTGAAGGCAGAATTAATTTGCAGTGGAGCTACAAAAAAAAGATCCCATCCTGTGCGGGTGAGGGAGGCTAAGTTGATTGTTTTAAAAGGGCCTTTCGTCCGGGCAGTTATGACAGTTTATGTTAAGGCAGCAGGGAGGAGCCGAAGAAAGGAAAACAGACCTTTGACTGCAGCTCTAGGGAGGGGATCTGAAATGCAAGGTTTATCAGGGCATTTTCGCATTTTAACACTGACTACTGACCTGTCCAGGGGACTGCACGGAGACCTTTTTTGTATGCATTCAATTGGGAGAAGTAAACAAACGGGCTCGTATCCTGTGTTTGGTAACCGGGTGGGGAGCACAGTTTGGCAACCAGCATTGCTTTTAAATTCTTTCTTTGGACAATGGGCCTTGTATACTTTCACATCCTGGCTTTTCCAACGCGGACAGCTTTCATGAGCTTTTCCGAGGGATGGCCACAGAGACAACAGAAAAGCCATCAGTCATTTTATATAAATACAAAATTTTTAAACATTTCATTTACAGTAAGACAGGAAACACCCTCCCCAAACTCCAGCACCCCCTCTCCATTCTTTTCTACTTCAAGAAGAGCTGGTTCCCCCATCTTTTATTGTATCCATGTTGGGTTTTTTTTTTTTTTTTTCTCTTCCTTCCTTCTTCTTCTTCTTCTTCTTTTTAAGTGTCATGAATTAATATCTGTTGAGGAAGTGAAAAAATCATTTTGACATGAATATAGCTATCATTGGGTTTTACATTAATGTGATAACATGGGAAGGGGTGAAAACAATTGGATCATTTTATGCATGCTGTTCTTAAAATGAAAACACTGGCTTTTCATTTAAATTTATTTAAATTTTTGTTGTTAGTGGTATAGAATTTGTTTTTTGGAGTGAAACTCAATTAACTTTCTCAGTGGCATGGTAGTAAGTCTGAAATTGGTTGCTAATAGGAGAATGATGGTTTTTACTGTAAAATAAACTGCACGGAGACCGAAAGGAAACCACCATTTTTCTCTTCCTTTGAACTTGGCATCAGAAGGTCTTGATACACGTACCATTTTATGGCTGTATCAGATCAAGGTCATGTGTTAGGTTAAGTGAATGCAGTTGTTTGTAAAGTATAGTTATTAGAAGCTCTGAAAGGGTTGTACAGTCCCTTTTAGTTGCAGAAGTCTTCCTGATGTTGTGAATGATACTCAGAATTAGGAAAACCAATCTTGTGGGGTTTTTTTTTTTAACCTTTTTTTTTTTTTTTTTTTTTTACTTTTTTTTGGGGGGGGCTACAGTTTGGCAAGGGTTAATTCTCCTTTCATAACTGTTAGCCATAATGTGGCTAAGACCTCCACCTCGATTTGATTCCTAGCAGATTAAGGATATTAGATAATTTCCTTCTATTTATTGTACTACTGCACTGTATTATCTTTCTATCACTCAGATAATTACTGAGGAAATCTACATTAATTTTTTTTGGCTGGAGCGAGGCCTGCTAAACACAGGAATGATGTATTGATGTTTTACACAACAAAAGTTTTCCTCCTGTCATTGTCCAATCAACAAAAAGATATTTATCATACCATAAGGCCCCTCTTTTCAAGAACAAAGCGGGTGGGGAAGCAGGACAGGCCAGCCGACCTGGGGGTTTCTGAAACTAAAGCCAAGTTAAGGCATCTGAAGCTTAAAGTGTCCTTCACATTAAATACTCACAGTCGAGTACGATGTTGTTTGCTAAATTATGAATGTGTGTAATTAAAATCTAGTGGCTGTTTCTATGAAAGATTTACAATGTTATTTCATCGTTTGTCATGGCTAATTAACAATATTAGATGAAGTTTTTCTTCTTCAAAGGTCTGATTTTTTCTCATTTATTTATGTCAGGAGTGATAAACAGAGTAGTTAAAAGCTCCCGGTGCAGGCAAGAGGAAGGCAGCTAGTTCTTCCGTGTACTCTCCGAGGTTCAGGGTTCAAATCCCCCCAGACCGGAATGGCGCCTTCCATTGCTCTGCGGCATGAATCACTGAACGTTTCAAAGTCTGGAAGTTCACATCTCGACTAGAAACGCTCAGGCCTTTCAAACTCTAGGAAAAGCTGACTTGATGGAAGAGTTATGTTTTTGTGCCGCTGGCCGCGGAGGGCAAGTACGTCCAGCCCCCCTCCCCATGCCCCCCCTCCAGCTCTCTTCCGACGTGCTCTGTCCTGTCCCCGTCACACCAGCCCTGACCCGGAGCCCTCCACTAGACCCCCTGGCCACCATTGTTGGTGTCTGACGGTGACGTGTTTTGAAACGCCCCTCCTCTGAACCTTCCTCGGGAAGCGGCCCCATCTCATCGTCTTTCTCCCTGATCTCTTGCAGCAGCAGCAGGTGGCTACCCAGCAGTTGGCTTTTCAGCAGCAGCTCCTCCAGATGCAGCAGCTCCAGCAGCAGCACCTCCTGTCTTTACAGCGCCAAGGCCTCCTTACGATTCAGCCGGGGCAGCCTGCCCTTCCCCTCCAGCCCCTTGCTCAAGGTGAGTGTTCCTGACCTAGCAGGCACCGCTCCGCGGAGATGTCGGGGCCGAGGGGCGGGGGCTGTCCGCTGGGATACTCCGGCCCATCAGGAAGCGTGTGGGCCATCCAAAACAAGCATAGGCAAACCAGAGAAAAGGCTGGACGAGGTCCAAGGAGGGACCTTTGTAGAAGCCGAAGGGCTTGCTCGTGGATGCCAGAACGAAGACGTGGGGTGGGCTGATGCTGAGCAGTAGCCGAGGAACACCCCCCCCCCTCCCCCCGCATGCTTTCGGAGTAGGAGACAGCAGTGCGGCTGGGACTCAAGGACCAGTTCAATCCGATCAAGCACTGCCCGTTTGGAACCACAGATGAATTTTCTTGAAGGCTTTTGTTTAGCCAATGGAAGGTATATTTTTCTATCACTGTAACTTGTTCTGTTGGAAAGCTTAGTGATGCTTTTGAAATGCCACTCTTTTAGTTCTAGAGATAAATTCAGGTTTATTCTCTATATTGAGAGTAATCTCTTTTGTCGGGTTTTCTTTTTTTTTTTTTTTTCCATTTCTTGTTTGTATCCATCTGTTGTTTTTTTTTTTTTGAGCAAGATCTACACTCATCAGAACAGGTAGCATTTCTACCTCCTGCTCTTCAAAAACTAGAGTTCCGCGCAAGGGAACTAGATTTCACAGATTTAAAAGTTTCTCCTGAAAAGCCGTTGACGTGTGATTACCATGGGTGTTGGACCTCAGAGACAAGTGAGGATTTCTAGCCGTTTTAGGACATCCTCGTGGTTTAGGCACGTCTTTGACGTGCGTGGTGTGCATGCACATGGATCACGCGGAAACAGCGCAGGACAGTGTGGAAGGAGAGAAGAAAGTGTCACACTGTGTTTTGAAATACAGTTCCCCCACACTGTACGTGGTGCAGCACATTCCAGCCCCCTCCTCAAGAACCCTGGTCTTGGCAGTGGCAGTAGGCTCAGATGTATGTGTGTGGACCTTAAAGTCTGGTAGCTAATGCCTTCGGTGTCTTGGATTCTGTTGCCTTCTAAAGAGGCTTGAAAATGTGGAACCTTCTTCGTGGTGATTAAGACGCTCTCATTTGTTCAGTAACTTTCAGTGTCACGTGGAGCCAGGGAGGCACGTCTTCATCTGACTCTTCTCTCTGGAGTCAACCACACCCAACTTACATCTCTTCCAGGGTTTTCTGGTTTTTGTTTATGTTTTCAGTGTTGAAACTGGTGCTTTCTCCCTTCCTGTGCCTCCTGGCCCTCCTCCCCTTTTGGCCACTACATCTCAACTACTGGCTATACGGTCAGCATCTCCATGGCTGTCCAAAGAGAAGGTTTGGTAACAGAGCAGTACGAGGGGAGAAGAAAGGACACAATGGCGAATGCATTTTTGTGCTTGCACAATGTTGTAACGTGCATTAATTACACCTTCGGGTTTATTGTTGGAAACCTTGCAGGCTGTTCAGACACACCCACTGGACTCGGGCTTCAACCTCTCATCTTTTCCCACTGCTCCTGTACTATTAAGTTTGCTCACTAAGGTTCATTGTTATAGTACATCAGTTAAGCTGTCCAAAAGAAGGCAATTGGGCAGCGACAAGACAGGCTCATGTGTGATGTGAAAGAAACGAATGTGGTGATGCATGAAGTGTAATCTCTGCAGTAACATATCAGAGACACCAGTAGGTAATTCACTAGTCATGGCATTGATTGATATGCTTTACAATCTGCTATAACTATTAGCCCCTGCAACGTTAGGAAGGAGCATATTTAATATCTGAGGGGTGCCCCGATGTGTGTCCCAGATACCTAAATGTAAATACGCTATTTCGGGAGTCAGGTTGTGGCAGCAAAACGAGCTCCCCGTGCCATTGCCATCTTCTGTAGGCTCCAGAGGTGGGTTCTGTGTCTCCTCTCCCCTTGCCCAAAGTGGCTCGAGAATTCAGTCGTGTTGGACTACAACCCAATTTTTTTTTATCAGAGACATGATAGCTTAAAACTGATGTCATTATGAGGTTTAAATCAACTTTCTGCTTGCTTGAACATGGTCACCTGGGTATGGATGTACAAGGACAAAAAAAGGTTGATCAACTCTGTTTGTCTTTGAGCCAGGGATACCTGGGGTTGTAAAATTGAGTTCCATGAGCAGTAATCTGTCAACTGTCCCCACAACATACATTTTTTAAGCCGGTGTCTGCATTTTCTTTTATAATGAAGGGGTTGGTTGTCCTGGAAAAAGAAATGTAGCAGGGCACAGCGTTAGGTGTTACAAATGCCAGTGATGGCCACTTCGTGATACAGTCGTTGTGATTCTTTTACGTACCTGTTCGTGGCCTTGGCTAAGTCACCTTAAATGTGTAGAAATGTGAAAGAGAGAATAGATAGAACGTAATATTTTGGAGGCCTTTTTTTTTTTTTCCTGAAAGTTTTATGGTATAAAACGGAGGGACATTTTTGTTGTAAGAGCATTGCAGGATATTCTCTGTTTTACGTAATGAGTGCGTACGCTTTTCATTCTGGTCTCTTGAAGCAGCTGACCCCCTAATGTTCATGCTCATTCTGACCTCTTAATTTTGAAAATCTGAACTAGAGATTAGGTGTTCGACAGCGCGCGCGCGCGCACACACATACACACACACACACACACACACACACACACATACACATACATACACGTTAATGAATTTGTTTAAGCCGGTACTATTATTATTCCTGTCTACCATATTGGAGGAAATATGTGCTGCTTTTTGGAAACTTGATATCCATTTAGTCTGATGAGTGACTAGCCTGCCTTTTATCTGTCTTAATTCTGTCACGAGATTGTGGCTGTCAAATAACAGCACCTTCCAGTAGATGGTATGCATTGGAGTAATAGTTTAACATCGCTAACAAGGTATAGTAGCATTGATGGAGAAGAATGATTTGACTGCTCTCTGTAAGTCTGATGAGAATGTTCTCAAACGTAATTATCACAGTGAGATTTGACCCACAAGCATGCCTGTCGTCAGCGAGTTACTGTTTTCTCTACCAGTTCCCCTTGTGAGGGGTGAAACTGACTGGCCAGCCCCCTGGAAGAGAAGGAGAGCCGAGTAATGTCAGTGTACTCTGGAGGTTTAACAAGTGTAACCAGACATTTCGCCTTTGTCTTTGTTTGCTGGATGAACAGCTCACTCCTAAAACAGCTCCAAAGTTCCTGCTTTCCTTGGAGGGAAAGTTGTTAGAAGCCGTTTTTTTCTTCCATTTTTTCACTTCCCATGCAGCTGACCCAGAAATCAATTAGTTGGAGTTGAAAAATGGGCGGCTCGTTCTTTTCATGTGTATTTACTCCCTAGAAAATAAAAATAGGTGTTGACTTGCATGGCTTTCTATCAATATGCTATCATCAACAGACAAGCCTATTCACTATTGTTTCAACTGAGTAAACAGTGGTCGGAGGGTCAGCCATCTTCCCAGGTAATTGTTGGTGTGTGGATATCGGTGGCAGGCCTGTTAGCTACAAACACATCCCACATGTCACTTCGGAAGGTGTTTGAAAATAATAGCCCAGATGCAGCAGAACCGGACACGGGATTGTGGAGTGACCTTTCCCTTTGTTTAATTTGCCTCTGAGGCTTAATTTCAGGGGACAAGTAATAATTGAATATGCCTAATAACTAAATGCTCATTTGGGACAAAATCCATCAAAATATAATTGGCATTTGATTTTTATGAAGGGAGAAGAAAACCGACTTGGCTGTTGAGGATGCGTTCTAAGAATATCTGACCACTTAATGTATCATTCGAAGCCACCTTTTATAATATATATTAATTGCAGATACTTGAGCATTTGAACATTTTCGTGGAGAACCCGTGAGGAGAGACCAACTGTTTTTGTTAACGCTCCTCTCAGAAAGGCGGGGAAGGTTATTGGTCTGCTGTGCAATAATTTACTCCTCTTTGATATGCAAACGATCCACGGTGAATATAAAAAAATCCTATCAGACTCATTTCACAGTTCTTAACCACTCGGATTCTCTGGAGTCCATCGCCTCATTAGACCAGTGCTCTCCAATGCTAGCATAATTAAAATCTTTAACAGTTTAGCAAAGTAAAGATGTTTGGCTGATCACGTTGAGATGATTATCTATCCATTGTATTCTAAATGACAAAAATAAATTAAATTTAGACCTTGGCATTTTTTATTATGTGTTTCAAATGAATATAATGCACACAGCCTTCTTTTTTAATTCAATAGCTTAGGTTTGGTAAGAAACACGCCTGTTTCGGGTGCTGCTATATAGTCAGAAAATGGCAGGCTTTCTAGGATAGCTGTTACAGTTGATTGAAACAATGAGCCGCAGTCCAGACATCCAGTTCTAATGTGGAATTGCCTTGTGCTGCACAGGGCTGACGATTTCTTGTAGCTGTCCTTTTGAAGGACTGGCTGTGGTGGTTTGCTGTTGTCCGCACCAGCAGGTCCATGGAGGTGGATTCTGGAAAGCCTGGGCTGGGGAGGCATGCCTCCACAACACGGGTGATGAGGCCGTAATAGTGAGATTGACATACTGATGGTTTCTTCTCTTGGGGAAAGTACAGGTTTGACTCTTCCTACTTAAGACCCATGCCCATGCTGACCCCCTTAAGAAACAAGAGAACTTTATTACTCCAAGTTTCTTTTACGTTTGCATTTTATTCTGCAATGGTTCATTAGCATTGATCTAAGAAATGACAGTAATAATAGTGTTACTTGTTAAAAAAAAAGTTACACAGTTTTTCGGTAGACACATCCATCAATTAAGCATGTGGTACTAGAAACCAAAATTAATGAGGAAGATAGGTGTGTTAATGAAATAATCATAGTATAATCAATTTGAATGTTAAAAGTTGAAAAGCATTTCAGGAGGACGATATGAATTCATAATTTATGTCTAAAAGTGATTAATAAAAACTATATTTAATAACAAAGCTATTTGTCATCATTTAAGACTTAAGCACAAAAATTATTCATTTTGTGGTTCATGTTGTCATAATAGTAGAGTTGAACAAATTTACTTCGAGCCCTTCTTTGTGGCTGAAAATACAATAACATCTACCTACTCCTTTTCAAAAATCTGGAAACAACAGTTTGGATGGAGACCTACTGTCTTTGCAGAGTAACTGTGTTTTGAATCCTTTTCACGGAGGTCTTTTCTGTGTGATGAGGGCACTTCAACTCGGCTGTTCAGTGGGAGGACACGGTTGTTACTACCGTATTTGCCTTAGTTGGGAGGGGGGAAAGAAACGCACACACCAAAAAAAAAAAAAAAAAAAAAAAAAAAAAAAAACCCTAAAACTAGGCTTTGTTTACTGACTCTTTGATTTAATTACTGTTTGAAGAGGACGGAATTAGCTGTTAATTGATTTAATTATCCAATTTGTTTGTTTCAGGCATGATTCCAACAGAACTGCAGCAGCTCTGGAAAGAAGTGACAAGTGCTCATTCTGCAGAAGAAAGCACAGGCAGCAATCACAGCAGTTTGGATCTGACCACGACATGTGTCTCGTCCTCTGCACCTTCCAAGACCTCCTTAATAATGAACCCACATGCCTCTACCAATGGACAGCTCTCAGTCCACACTCCCAAAAGGGAAAGGTAGGAATGAGCCACCAAGATGTGTCCGGAACAGTCCTCAACAAGGGAGGGTGGGTGGTCTTGCTCTGCCATATCTCAGCGATACCTAATTGGATCCATGTGACTTGAATGTGCATATAATTACTTAAGAATGTGTTCAATATGGTTAGGGTGTGAAGCATCTAATAATTTTCACCTTTTCAACATGGAATTAGCACTTAATGCAGATCTAACCTAAGCTTAAGAACCCAGGCTGAGATAGTTTCTCACTGGATGGGCTGGATTTCAAGGGTTCCAGGCTTCCTCTTCGTGCCCAGTGCTCAGTCCATGCATGCTGGTCGTCTGGGCTCTGAGCACCTTCCAAGGGAGTAGTAGAGTCTGGTATTGGCGATTTTGAATCACAGGTCAAGAAAAGGCAGAGAACTTAGCCACTACATACTGCCCTCCTTGAAGGCAGGGAGCCTGTCTTTTGCACTGTTGTGCCTCCAAAGAACATGGCCTTTTTCCTGGTCAGTGCTCAGTGAAGGTTGGAAAGATGGGGAGATGGGAGGGGTCTGTATATGCACGCACACGATCCATGTCTATATGCACAGGTTTAAAAAAATAAGTCTTAACTCCTGGGGAGGAATGCAGTGCTGTCTCGGTCGCTGTATTCCTCTCTGGAAGTTAAGACTTTATCATTGTAGTTGCCCTCAGCTCTGCTTGAATGTTAGCTGAAGCCGAGTCTGTCTGAGATATCCGGAATACATCATGTTAGCAGATAGTTCTAAGAAAATGAAGCTGTTAATTCATGTTATTGGATCCTCACACCCCAGAAGCATTAATACTACTGTTGAATGCTTTTCAGAAGTGGAGTGTATATATATAATGCTCCTAAAATTAAAAACTTTTATTTTCAATGTACTATTTTTAAACGGTTTCCCATCTATTTCATATGCACAGTTTCCCCACACAGAAGAAAAGAAACTTTCAAAGTAATGTGTGATAGTAAATGTCACTTCCAGCAGGAAAAACAAATTCTATATTTTGTTTTTTAATAAAAATGACTCAGTGAAGTTTTTTTTTAATGACACTCTTCACTTGAGCAATTACAAATATAATTTCATATATTTCTTGAACTATTGAGCATTAAGAAGCCCACGGGTTTAATTAGATGTGTATCTTTCTACCAGCGACATTTTATCTATTCCAAGATCCATAATCACAGAAAATGCTCTCTGAATATTTGTGCATGTGTGGGCGTGTGTCCTGGTCAAGCGTAAGAACGTGAGACGTTCTGAGAGATGGGGATAATAGGTATTTAAACCAAAACTTGCAGCCATCCTTTTAAGAGCATTTTGGAACTTCTCTGGCAGACATTGGCAAAGTAAAAGATGTTTTAAATTTCCTGTTCAGAAGAATTTGAAGGATGGAATGATGGACAGTAAGACTGTGTGGAGGCATTGGGCCAAATGTGGCTTCTGTTGTTTCCAGTGAGGTTAGGTTTGTATGTCTGGAAGCCAGTCTTTTCTCTTGCTTTCTCACCTCTTACAGTGTCTTTGTAATTAAAAAATAACACTGAACCTTAGAGGGCTTTCAAGAAGATTCTAGGTTGCTGTCCTTTGCTCTACTTGCTTTTGGTGTCTAAGGTTGATGCTGTCCATTTACTGTGGAGCGATCGAATCACATCTTGATCCACAGGCAGAGCAGGCCATCCACTGGGAATTGCTGACCGGAGCACTTCAGGTATTTGTGGCAATCTCTTCGGCTGTTGGAGCCCGCAAACATTTCCTGTGACACGGAAAACTCTTCTTGTTTAGATGCTCTGTGCTCGGTCCCATTCTGCAGGGTTCTGCATCTGTAGTCAGGTGACAGATTACGGGTAAGTCGGGTAGGAGAAGAATAGCCCTCTCAGGTCTGAAGGTGTGTTGGAAAGTAAATGGATCATTCCAGAAGAATAAGTTCGTTTGGATTGTTTTTACGATCTGCACGTGAGTGAGACTTAACCTTCATTATACTACATGCCGAAATTAGAATACGGATCAGAAAAGAATCTGGGTTCTACTGAGCTGTCATCTGGCTGTAAAAACAGGCTGAATTTTCCAGTTACATATGCAAAGAAGAAGCGACTATGAAATTATCTGCCACTCCTTAGTATCTTGGCTCTCTCCATTAACATGACCGGGTGGGTTCCTAGTTGCGGCTGAATGAAAAAGAAAATGCTGGTTGGCCTGTTTAGCTGAAGCCGGTGAACAAGACTGACGAGCACCTTAGGTGAAAGATAGTTCGAAAGTTAGAAACTTACAGAATTGATCATGAAAAACTCAGTCATTAGTTCGCCAGCTTTGTGTGCGTACAGGTACTTACAGAATGAGGTTTTAGCTGTTTTACCTCCGGGTTTATCTTGAAAGCGTCAGTGTGATATCCTGTTTAAGTAGTGGAAAATGGTAAAAAGCTATCCCTCTGAAAATGTTCTCACTGCCTTAACGTTTGTCACAGCGGTCCCTCGGAGAAGTTTCGTCCCTTACTCACGAGTGCATTCATGAAATCTGTAACTTGGCCGGCTGCCCGCTGATTTCGGTGTGCTGTTCATTCCTGCTCTGTTCTCCCAGCGCAGTCTCTGAACAAGCTAGAGCTTCGGCCACCGGGGATGGTACCCTAGCCCTTCAGACTCAGCCTCAGATGAACAGCTTAAGAATCCTCCCCAAAAGGTTCAGGAAGGCTCCACGCAAAACAGCATTGGAAAAAAGCAGTGGTATCCTGAGGGGCTTTGTTGGTGAGAGTAGTGAGAGGTCTCCTAACCGCACCTAGGCTTGCACACTTCTTGGTCTCTTGGAAACCTCCCCCTCCCCCACTCTTGCCCCCGTGCGTGTTGCGGGCTCCCGTGAGCAGCCGCTGTGGCAGCAGCTCTGGGGTTTGGTGAGCTGCAATCTGTTAAGGAGATAAATAATGTGCTTGGCACGACACTCCTACTCTCCTCTTTAATTTGTCTTACACAAGGAAAATTATAATTAAATCATTCAGGGTAAACCCTCGAGTGTAGAGAAGGGAAAAAACACACTTTGGTAAAGATTGCCAATAGAAACCCACTTCCCCGTTGCGCAGCGTGGAGACATTTATCAGTATTCAGCACTATTACGAGAGGAGCGGCCCATGTGATTTGTGAGGCGGATGCCAGCGCTCAAATCAAGGCTTGTTAAGATCCTGTCCCTGTGCAATCACGGCCATTCAGCATCATTAGAATTCAGCACTGGCGCTGCGCTTCGTGCTTTGATTTTCTTCCGGCAATTTAATAATGTTTATTGTGCTGATTATATATAAATTCATTGGTGCAATAAACATACCTCGGTTGCCAGCGCCGGAGAGAAGCGTGGTGAAGGTGAAGTTCAGCAGGCAGGAGCTAAAGGGAGCTGAGTGGGAAGCAGGCGTGTTCCCGTCTCCCACTGCCATTTTATTCCCCAGGACCCAGGGAGCCATGACATCGTAGACAAACAGATAAAACTCAGACCCGGGATACCTCTGAACGCGAAGCTATCCTCTTGTTCCCTTTCACTTGTCTGACTTGCTTTAGGAAATTCCAAGTTTTGGTGTGGGTAAACAAAATCAACGGAATGCAAATGAAACATTTATTAAAATGCTAAATTTAGTAAAGCCCTTTGAGCTTCTTGGATCAAAGCAGCTATGTAAATACAAATAGCAATTACTACTTAAGTAATTGCCTGAATTAAAATTCTAAATATCACATTATATTATGGTGCAGTAGGGAAAGGGAAGGGAGCTCAGGCGTCCTCAGTTCTTCCTCTCTGCCGAGCACTGGCTACACTCTTGTTTTTGGAATGATGTCTCACTTTATCCTCATGACTGCTGGCAAGCAGTAGGGGTTATTATACCCATTTTACAGACAAGGAAATTGAGTCATAGAGACTAAAGAACTGACCTCGGGTCACAGAACTGATTACTAGATCCAAATGCAAGCCTGTCTATTCCCTTAACTTTGTAATACGGCACTTAGAGTTCTCAATCAGCCTAGAAGTGACTATTGAATTATGATAAGTTGGAATCAGTGTTCCTAAAATAAAGTTTAATTAAAATCCAACAAAAGGTGCATTGACTTCACCTACTGCGTGCACATCAACACGTTTTAAAGGAAAACAGCAGACGTTGCTCTTTTAAGATGGATACTGGTCTTTACTGGGCCTTGCATGAAGGAAGAGGGCAGGTAGGATTTGCAAAATAGACGCCACTGACAGTCTGAAACTCCGCGTAAAGAACGAACATGAAGCCCACGCCGGCTTTGCACCCAGGCCAATGCCAGACAAGCCTCCCTCTCTCCCTTCTAGCCTCATAGGTCCTGCTCACCCTCACGGAACACCTCCCCTGGCCTTTATCCTATTTTTCCTGTCCTCTGGAGTCCATATGAGAGAGAGACTGCTGCTCTGACCCTTCCTGGCCTTTTGCTTTTGGTTAAGCCACCACCAGTAGACGTTTGCTAACGCGAGCAGGTCTCAGATGCAAAGCTCTTCCAAGTGTGCGATTCAGGACTTCCTTGAAGCCGCTGGTGGAAGAGGTTCCTTTGAACCCTGAAAGCATCACGGCGGTCCGTTGGCTGGTGTCTGTTGGCCGGTGTCCGTTGCACAGCCTCTTCTTCCCTAGAGGCTGCCCTCTTGTTCCGAGAATCCGTTGGCCTGTGTTGGGTCCCTGCCCTGCGAGGTCTGACCTGCCCTCTGTCCACTCCCGGTGCTTCTTCCCGCCTTCTGCTCTGCTCACGCAGCCCCAGGTATTTCCACTGCTTGCCTTTGCCCCCGTTCCGCAGTGGGCAGCTGCCCGCAAGTGAGCCCTGAAGGTCTTAGCTTGGCTAGTGTGCTTGCAGTCTTTTTCGCTTGATACACAGCCTCTGTTTTTGATTTGTGGCCTCTTGACGTATTGCCATGTATTTGACTACATAACAATAACATTTGTGTTTCCCGCCCCACTATTTTCAGAAGGCAGGGAATTCTGAAACGTGGACATGCCTGGCATTTCTTTCCCCCCCCCTCTTTTTT